TGACTAACGTTTTTCAAATCCTGAAATTATCAAATTAATTACTGACGAAGTGTGACGTTTTTAACTGCTGCAAATGACGCATTTATGTGAACTGTCTCTGAAATGGACATAAGATTTGAGAGACGAAGATGGAACCTTCACTAGGATAAACCTAAAAGGCACTATAATATTCTCAAGTGAACCTGATTTGACCTTTGAATACACGTATCCGCTGTTCAGTTTTTCACTACTTGTTGGACAACCTTTTTCTCTAAAAAGGAAACGAACAACAAAATTCAGAACAGTGATTTCAAAATGTTAACAGCAGTAAACCAACGATTGGGAAAAGACTTTCTGGTAGGCCGCCCTTCCAAATATGGGCATGATGAGCGTAGTATGAGAAGGCCTTTAGTCTCGTGAAGTCAAATTGTGAAGAGCACGATGAAGAGGATTGTTTAAATACCGATTCCAGTCAACCCAGGAAATGTCCTGGTTTGTTGATTGAAAACGGACGTACTTTGAGGTGGGTTGGGGGATTCTTTCGGAACTGGTCCCTGGCAAGGATGAGCTGGTACTTGGAGAAACTCTGAAGATCCTTGTGTGCCATCACTCGGTTGTGGACCAAACGTGACATGAACTTCTCCAACACCTAGTGGAGAGAGAGAGAGAGACACGCACAGACACACACACACACGCACGCACGCACACGCACACGCACACACACAATGTATGTAGGTCATCATAATTGGCCATTTCCTGCCAATGCTTTTTCACTGATGAGCAGACAGAAAGCAGGGAAGTGATTCCGCATATGCTTCATCACGCCTCACACAAATGTGCTTCTGTTATTTACCAAACCAATCTTGCGCCGACTGAAAGAGGAAGAGGTTTCAAGGTCTCGACAATAGACGAGTAATATTATTTGGGCTGGATGTGATTTTTCTTTCCCACTGCACTCGATTTTGAATAAAAGCAAGCGGAAGATGTGAGCAATTTGTCACACCGAAAATTTGAGCCGCATCAATTCAGCCGCACAGCATGAGGGAGTCGTTACTATTTCAATTTTGCTAATGGTAGGGAGTTGCCCTAGAAACAGAAGAAGCAAACACATGCTGAGGAACACAGTACAATGCAGCGCAACATGTACAGGTGATGAGCGATTGAATTATCTCGAATGTTCCACACATATTCAAATCGCTCCAAATAACGTGTTATGTGGACTGTGGACTGTAAATTTCCCCATTGTGGGACAAATAAAGGACATCTTATTAAAGACAGCCCTGTTATTATTAACTTGCATATATAATATTCTAATTTGCCAAAGAGAGAGACTGTTGATGTTTTGTCACGTGTTCAGTAAGCTGCTTTGTTACAGCTGTTGCTGTTCTATAAAGCGTCATGTAAATAAAGTTGAGTTGAGCTGCATGCACTGACAACTCCAAAAAAAAAAAAAAAAAAAAAAAAAAAAAAAAAACACCCCCCTGCCACTGATGAAAGGTTTTAGCAGTTTTGAAACCGTGACTTTTTAAAAATTGTTCAACTGTATACCGATATACAGCCATACCTTTAAACCGGTGACTGGTCAGAGCCGAAGAAAAAAAGATAAATAAAACACTTTTTTTTTTTAACACCTGCCACACGTTTGAATACATTTAAACTAAAAGTTTTAAGACCTTTTTTTTTTTTAATGGAATGTTAATTTAACGCAAACATTGAACATATAAATACTCTTTTTAAATTAATTCAACCTAGCATTTCAACAGGGGTGTGTAGACTTTCTATGTCAACTATAGATGGTGAAACCTCGATTGAGCCTGGCTGGCCCTTTCCCAGAAATGGCTGATAGTGATCATGCTTTGCTTTGGATAGGAAAGTTGAGCCACTTGGCGCTTTTAGGCTAAATCTCAGCACGCTTGTCAGGGGGCTGAAGCAAGGTGCTCTGTTCTTTCCGGAGCTTTACACGACAAAGGCAGAGGGTTGAATAACCACCATTAATTCCCTTTGACCTTTCACTCAAACGGCCAGTGAATATGGCGTCATCATCGTATGCTCTTATACAGTATGTGTAAAACATCTTACTGGGACAGTGCTTTGTTAAGCATGTGGTGGTGCATTATTTGTTCAAAGTGAACTCGGCGCATGAGAGAAAACAGAATTGTCAAAATAATTTATTGAGAGAGAAAATCTCATTTACTCTGGAAGCAGCTTGTCAGATATTTGCTGTAATGACTAAAATACCATTAATCAAAATGCAATTTTAATTATTTGGTTTTGTCAGCACGCCATGCAGTGCATACATCATCTTACGCACAAGATGGGGAAATTAGTGGGAGGAAAAAAAAATAGAATATAAATTAAAAATGAGAAGAAAAAAAAAGAAAATCCACGGGTGCTGAACCACGACCCATCTGGGGGTCGACTGTAGCTCATTTTTGGTTCATCCTGAAATTTCACTTCGTTTGTGTGTGTGTGTGTGTGTGTGTGTGTGTGTGTGTGTGTGTGTGCGTGCGTGCGTGCTTACAGCCGATTGGTTGAAGGGCATGGAGTTAAGTGACGTGAAGAATGTGAGAAAAAAGCCGCTCTGTGGGCTGCTATTAATAACGAAAGCTGCTCATGGCTGAACTCTGCATGTCAACAATGGAAGGGGTGTATGCGCGCGCGCGTGTGTGTGTACGTTCATGTACAAGAACAAGCGTTCCAAAGGTCAACTAAAAAGATAAATAAACCGTCCGAACTCACTCATGTGTAATGAAGTTGATACGGCTCATCACCTACTGATGTCGCTCACCCTGCCACTTACATTATGAATGATTAAGCTCATCTTGGCGTGCAGTTATCGATCCATTTAGTTATTGTCAGGCTGTGTGTATCAACAAAAGCAGCAACGGGGATTATTACAGTAAGTGTGGACGCGTATTTACTGTACATGGAAACTCCCCCACAGACTGGAGAGGATTATATAATGTCCTCTACGTGCGTGTGGAACGGTGCAACATGGTGGCTGGCTGTTGCAGCGCCGCAGATCAGACAGATCAAAATCGTGCCTGCTCAAGTTCAAGTTTGTTTATTATGCTCCGACAAAAGAACTCGTTTGTCCGTTGTCGGCCACATTAAAATGCTACAATAGAGCGGAACCCCCGAAGTGGAACAAGGTCATTTCGTGACACCGGTTGACTTGCAAGTTGCGCTGATTTCAAAGCAATTTCCCAATAGGACACAATGTAAACTGGATTTATTTGTGGCATCACAAAGCCTCTTTTAAGTATACAGGAAATGTTTCAAATACTGGAACATTAATTAACTGTCACACAAGTGTAAAGACATTTTTTCAACTATATACAGTAATTAAAAGTCATTGTCACACACGCATGCACAGCAGCGTTGTAATACTTTTGACAGGTCTTCGTCGCAAGATCATTTTCCGAAGGTCTTGTCTTTAACTCGACTCCCAAAAGTCCTGGTCTTGACTGTCAAGACCGGCACTCATCTGCCATTCTTCAACTTCATGAATGTGCAACAAATAGCTTCAATTCATGTGTCACTAACCCCCTCACCGCTCCCCCCACCACCACCATCACCTACATGACGGCAACCTTTTCAGGACTGAGAGACACCACCGCACACAGGCGGAAGTGAAAGGTGCAAGACTAAAAAAACAAAACTGAGTGAGGACAGCCCTATCTTAAGACCGTAATTAAATGTGGCTTCTTCAGCCACAAAGACTAGAACAACATGCAAAAGAAAATACTCTACAATGTGCAAATTCTGCAGTCTTCAACTCAGTGAAATCCTTGAACTTTGGCCAGCATCTCAACAGAAAACAGACCGGTAAGCTAATGTTAATTTCAGAGAAAGTAACACCAGCGAATCTTATTTTGTCTTCTACAGATTTCTGGATTGAGGTTCTGATTGCACAGTGAACTTGTTTTATTTAACACATATACAGTATATTATACTTTCAATGTAGCTTGCACCAAATCAGCTAAATTGGTTGATTGATTATTTTACTCATAATTTTGCAATACTGTACATACACAGGGATTTGCTGTATCTCTTACAATAATTTTTGTGTGTCGCAACACTGTGTTTTTGACTGTCAAATGTATTTAAAACAACATTCCAATTAAAGAGAGAGCGACATTTTCAAGGAAGTGACGGTTTTAAAATTTAATTGTTATGGTCATGGCCTTATCTTGATCTCAACTCTCAGAAGTCATGAGGCGCGCCCGCCCACCCACACACACACACACACACACACACACACACACACACACACACACACACACACACACACACACACAATATTGTTTTATTGTTTTCGCCTCTCAGAACACAAGTTGTGCCACATGTGCATTCAAATGTTTACATGTCAAATTAAGACCTTTATTGGTCAACCCCCGCTATTCACGGGAGACAGTAACCAGGCCTGCCGTGAATAGCCAAAATCTGCATATAATCGTCACCCATGGAAATGCATTGAATAAAAAATAATATTAATAAACCCCCCCAAATTCTTCAAAACACTCTGATAAACATACATTTTCTACAGAAAACACGGGGAAATTGGAGGGAGGGAAAATATATATATATAACCAATGTTGAGTTCCAACATAAAACACACACACACACACACACACACACACACACATATATATATATACACACACACACACACACATAAATAAAAAAAGATTTTTAAAAAACAGGGAATATTGAAATCCACGAGTGGTTGGCCACGAGTATCTGGGGTGTTGACATTTCATTTTAGGTTCACCCTGAAATTTCACTTGGTGTTTTTTTGTTCCTGTGGAAAGCCCCCTGCTCTAAAGTAACAGTACCCTCAATTGAGTACAGTCTATCAACGCTGTTCTTTTCATTTTGTTGAATAAAGCGATACCAAGGCGAGAATGGACGGTTGTTTGATTGGTACTATTTATCGTCTCGGACAGCAGCTCGAAGATGAGAGATGAGGGAGTGGCAAGGGCCCGAGGAGTCACGTGGTGTACCTCTTCTCCTATAAACATCGCCTTCACCGATTCCCCCCGTTCGAGCCCAACAGACGGAGACTGCGCTCACCGTCGGCTTATTTATTAGCGAACGTAAAGCACAAGTTAAAGGCGGATTTGTATGTCGTTGTGACGATATTGTTTTTTTTTGTTTGTTTGTTTTTCATGATAATGGCTAAATGCGCCGTGGACAGTTGCTTCGAGTCCGATTTGTTGACCCACGACTGGCCGTGAGCCTCATCAGGACACGCGCTGCAGCGAAGTCACGAAGAACGAAAAAAAACGGGATTTTAGCATAACATTGTCCGATCGTTTCTATTTTTTTTTATCAGAAACGACAACACTTTTCTTTTTAATTGCCGCGACAAAATGGACCGCGGTGGCTGTCAAATGAGTGGCGGCGGTGGTGGAGGTGGCAGCGGCCCCGGAGGTGGCAGCGGCCCCGGCGACGGCGGTGGCGGCATGATCACACTGGAGGACTTGGAGTCTTTCTCCGAGGACCAGCTGTCCGACTCCGGCAACGGCAGCCTGGAGGACGACGAAGAAGACGCCGACCGACTGCTGCACTACTGGCAGGACGTAGCCAGAGGACACCAAGTGGAAGTTGCAAAGGGTAATTCAAAAAAAAAAAAAAAAAAAAAACTAAACTAACTTTATTGCTAAGTTCGGACGCAAAAGGGAACGTTGTGACACGGTTAGCTTAGCTGGAGCTTCGTGCCGTCTCAAAGCAGAGAGGTCGAAACAACAAGTGACGGCGTGTTTTTGTCCGTGAAGTTCAACTGCTACGACTCAACTTGGTCGTTCGTGTAAGCCGACCCTAGTTTAATGCTCCTGGTTTATCGTCATGCATTGTGACGTGGTTTTAAATGGCGACATTTTTGACACAAATTTGCCCATTACCGTGTTATTACGGAGTGAAATAAGCTACTCCTTACTAACGCTTTGAGATCATGGGACTCCTAAAGTAGCCTGGAGTGATACTTTGCCAGCAAGTCCTCGTTGTTTAACTCTGTAGACTTGTAAAACGAGTCTCCGAAAGTTTTGTAAGGTTAATACGGTGATAAATAGTTGCTTAGGTTTGTTTTATTCATTGTTATTGTCGAATAAAATCACTACATTAACCTTTTAAGAGTGGAGTAACCTGCCAAAATTGGGGTCTTATCTAATCCTCGGGGCCTCCTGATCAAATCAACAACACACTGTAATTGGTTGTAAATGTTCACGATCATAAATATCCAAAACATTGCACGAATAAAAAAAAAATTATATACACAAACACACAGTTGTGCTATTTTTCAAAACAGACTGTAAACTCAAAACTCCCACCAGTTCAGTTTATGGTTGGCTAAAACAAAGATCAAAACACACCATTGGTTTTTGAACATACAGGAGACATATCATATCGTATGAGATTTAACAATACTGTGTCAAAGTATCATGACCTGCCCGTCGTAACATGACTTAGGCAGAATTCCAAAGCAAGGAAAGAAAGCACAAAAGTATATTTCTGTATCATCTCAGGATTAAATATCACTATCACGAATTAATATTTTTGTCAGTCAGCACTAACTAGACTGCTCCAGAGTGAGAAACCCAACGACATACTCGGCATGTCCCTTCTCCTGCCCTCCAAGCACGGCACTAATTGAGGATTTAGCACAAAATGGCCTGCTGACGCTTTCTGCCTCAGGGAGAGATTATCTACCTAGACTGTGTGCTGGCCGGTTCGTGGTTCCTGCTGCTGCCATGTCCTGCATGTAAATACAGCGCAGAGTACACAGGCAAGGCATCCTTTCCCGAGATTTACAGGTTTGCAGATGGGAGATGTCTGCCATGCAGGCCTTCTGATGATCACCCGCATGCATTGAACATTTCAAATGTAAATCGGCTTTTATGATGCCGACAGGACAGTGTTGTTTTCTTCAAGGATGACGAAATTATTCCGTTAATGCCCTTTTTTTTTTTTCACGACAACAACGAGCTGACGAGCTTAAACATCGCGTTTACTAAAATATGACATGACGTGAGTTTTCTTTGTCGGGAGGAGAATGGACAAAATTGTTCACATGTGGTCTGTCAGACGTTCAAAATGCATGACATCTCTTCCTACTGTGCATGCAACCTGTCTGTCAAAAAAAAAAAAAAAAAATCGACAATGCTGCTGCAACCTATCCTTGTTTGATCATGCCCACTACCTGGCTGGCACATGCATACACAAGCACAGCACAACACGTCTGTAGCCAGTAGTCACACACACACACGCACACGCTTTCCATTGATGGACCATGGCGGCAGTGTCAACAAAAGGGCTTGGTGGTCGGAAATGAAGAAAAGATAGACAAACTTTCTGTACAACCCAGCTGGGAAAAAAAAACAACACAATGCTGGAGTAACTGTAAATGATGGCGGTAACAGTAAATGTGGCCACAAATTAGGTGGAAAGAATGTCCAGTATGAATCTCAAGCGGCATCTGAAGGCCCACCAAGCTGATATTTTATGGCAGGTAAGTCACAACTAGTCCTGTTAACATATCATAATGTAAATGTATACATTTGGCAGGCTCTGGAGTACTTTCTGATATTTAGTTGGATGATGGAATAAAATGTGCGAATTATTTCTCTTATGTCACACAGGTGTTAATTATGAGCTGCAGTGATGGAAACTGAGTGTAAAATCATGCACACTGTCAGCTCTGAGGATGAACTAAATTTTATACCATAACTGCACGAGGGATAGGGGGGACGCCCTAAATGTTATTCCTCTACTCAACAAATTACACTCAATATCTAACGCTGTTAACACGTGGTTTATTCAGACAAAGTGATGCCAGTCAGGTTTCTTTTCCAGCGCTTTGTCTAGAAAACAGTGAACGCCAGATAAAATATTACCTGGCTCGACGCGCTTGCCACTGGCACAGCCAGGTCATGTTTGCACAACTCGGCCAAACGAGGAAAGCTGTCCTCGTTCTGGGAGCGTCGCAGCAGCATGTGCTGCATGATGGTAATTTGCAATGTTGGCAAAATAATGGATCTGCTAAACTGTGACCCCCCACTCCCCTTTACCACCCTTACCAAAACGGTGCATTCAGAAAAGGAGGACAATTTAAATTAAAGTGACAGACTAATGTCATTCCGGGTGCTCATCCGTTGGGGCGAGTGTCACTGCTTTCTCCTAAAGCCAAAAGCGTACTTAGTGATTAGTCGACGGCATGCGTCATTGAAGAGTAAAGTCGACTTGGGTCATCTGTGTAGCCCTTAAAAGGTACTCAAGATGAATCCGCGAAAGAGGAGGTCACATCTTTGAACGCACCCCCAATTTCCGTCTGCCATTGCAAAAGTTAAGACACTCCGCTTTACACAGCTGATAGAATTATTGCCCGGAAAAAGTGTACATTTAATTCTTCCGGACTATGCGATTCAGACTAGTTGTGCACCTGCTTAGCTTGAAATTTGGATGTGACGTGAGTGTTGTTTTAAGCCAGGGAAACAAAGCCTGTGTTATGACTATTGACTGCATCTAGAGTAGACTGAGGTGCTGCCATAGAAACCGATTATATGGCTTTTGTGCTCATTGAGAATGGATGACCGAGTTCGATAGACATTGATTTCTTCTGATATACACGTGCAAAAAATGTTGGTCCTCTCACTTGGATTGATTGGTGGCCCTAACACCATGGATCCACGTGACCTACTTATCCTCTCATCACATTGATTTGATGCGATTGAGTCGGTGTGAATGCCTTGCCTTTCAGTGCATCGGCCTTTTTTTTAATTCCAGGTGATGGGAGTTCTGTAATCACCGTTGAGTTATTAGTAACAAGGTCAAGCCAGCGAACGAGACTAGCTTTTAATAGTTGATAAGAATCTGGCACACGCGATCCTGTGTGTCGAAGGCACCGACTTGTTGTGCTCAATAGTGGTCTATAGCTGGCACCGGGCAGCTTTAATCAGTGTTCTCTGCGTCACCTCTAATACACATCACGCCATGTGATGCCTTGGCACAGCGCTGTGCCCATCTGGAAGCCTTCTCACGCCAGTACTAAACCGCACGCCATGTGAACTTTGGGTGTTTTTCTCATTTGAGGTGTTTTTCCTCATTAGAGGCTTGAGAAGTTTTGAGTGGGGCCTTTTCACAACCACTGTTGTAACCAAGGAAGAAGAATTGCAGCCTCAAGCTTGGGGTTTCAACCTATACGACCCGAGCCAGTCCATCAATGACCTTAAAGGGATAATCCGGCCGAGATTGGCCATTTTTCACTCCAAAATTCTCTTCATATATTTTTTGGGTCGGGAAATTGATTGTAGCTTGCATTTTCAATTTTATCAATTCATTGTGGAGAAAGAAATCAGGATATAACTAGCCACTCTCAAAACATACCTCTCGTCAGCAATATAGCTACGCACCTCCCTCCCGTCCCTCTTCCCACGTCATGGTGGGAATAAGCAGAGGAACAGGCCAGAATTTCTCCGTTGGTGCTCCCATTTAATGTTCGCGTTTTGTCGCAGCTTTCAGACAAGACAGAACGCGACAAAACCCATTCAGGGAAAAAAAAAAATTCAATGCTTGCTTCCTTACTTCAACGATGTCATCTGGCTAGTCTCCGAATTTTAGGGCATTTCATGTTCAGCCCAAGGACACAAAAGCAATATCACCAAGCTTCTGCACAAAACACATACCAAAAACATCTAAACCGCGGAAATCGAGGTCCGACCCACATCGCTGGCTTGTTTGCATTGTTGAACCGTACAGACAGCAAGAAACACTTGACCAAATCCTACACATGTAATCGTCTCAAATTTGTTTGCTAGTAAGTGTGAATCAATTTGACTTGTTAAAATTCTCTTTCAATTGACCCATGTATTCCGTTATGTTCGTTTTTCTATTACAGAAATGTCCGAACCCATTCAACAGCTTACCTCCAATAACAACGGACGCAGTAACAGAGAACACATCCCTTTTACCCTCCTGTCTCGGAAAGAAAAGGTATGAATCTCACTTTGTGTTTTACCAACTTTTTTTGGAACAACAATATTTTCAAAACATGTTTTTCTTTTCTCTTTGTTGCTACAATAATTTGGTCGAGTGCACTACTTTATCTTATTCGAAAGGGTCCTGTTCCCAGTACAGTGAGCCAGTTACCCACCCCTCAGAGGGCCATATCTCTTCATATATTTTTTGGGTCGGGAAATTGATTGTAGCTTGCATTTTCAATTTTATCAATTCATTGTGGAGAAAGAAATCAGGATATAACTAGCCACTCTCAAAACATACCTCTCGTCAGCAATATAGCTACGCACCTCCCTCCCGTCCCTCTTCCCACGTCATGGTGGGAATAAGCAGAGGAACAGGCCAGAATTTCTCCGTTGGTGCTCCCATTTAATGTTCGCGTTTTGTCGCAGCTTTCAGACAAGACAGAACGCGACAAAACCCATTCAGGGAAAAAAAAAAATTCAATGCTTGCTTCCTTACTTCAACGATGTCATCTGGCTAGTCTCCGAATTTTAGGGCATTTCATGTTCAGCCCAAGGACACAAAAGCAATATCACCAAGCTTCTGCACAAAACACATACCAAAAACATCTAAACCGCGGAAATCGAGGTCCGACCCACATCGCTGGCTTGTTTGCATTGTTGAACCGTACAGACAGCAAGAAACACTTGACCAAATCCTACACATGTAATCGTCTCAAATTTGTTTGCTAGTAAGTGTGAATCAATTTGACTTGTTAAAATTCTCTTTCAATTGACCCATGTATTCCGTTATGTTCGTTTTTCTATTACAGAAATGTCCGAACCCATTCAACAGCTTACCTCCAATAACAACGGACGCAGTAACAGAGAACACATCCCTTTTACCCTCCTGTCTCGGAAAGAAAAGGTATGAATCTGACTTTGTGTTTTACCAAATTTTTTTGGAACAACAATATTTTCAAAACATGTTTTTCTTTTCTCTTTGTTGCTACAATAATTTGGTCGAGTGCACTACTTTATCTTATTCGAAAGGGTCCTGTTCCCAGTACAGTGAGCCAGTTACCCACCCCTCAGAGGGCCATATAAATAAAGTTGGCTAATTGGTTTAACTTGAGTTAATTAGTCCATTGAAACTTGGCAGGAGAGTGGCATTAAAACAAAGGACAGTAACAGGCTATCAGTCTATTCATAGGGCAGCTATCAGAGCAAGATGGGGACTGGGGGGGTGTGGGGGGGTTTAATCAGACACCTGTTCGCTGTCCAAAGATAATCTCATAAATCCACTTGTGCCAATTTTGCCTTTTTACCGAAATGAGAGTCATCTCCATGTACTATTAACTCACAGCTGCGTAGCTAAACCAGCAAAAAACAAAACCAAAAAAAAATGCATTATTAAGAGCTATCGCCACAACTATCTTCTTCAGACCACATCTGACTTTGTCATGAAATCCCCGCTTACTCAAGAATTTGGGGGTTTAAAAAAAAGAAAAAAAAATTTTTATATTATCTATATATTTTTTCTAGTGCAATTATAATGGCTGTCAATTATCCGCGGATTTTTGCGATTCCACTTGTAATAACAGCGTTTCTGTTGGCGTACCTTTTGTAGTGCGGGGAGCTGCTATTCGAGAAGCGGCATTATGAAAAGGGCCACTGGGCCTCCATAACAATGCGCGAGGAGACGTACGAACAGAGCATCTGCTACGGCTTCATGAGGATAATGAGATACATCTGCCAGCAGAACTCCTTAGGTGAGTTTAAACACAAGTTGACCAAAATGCTCTATATCACTCAGCGACGAGATGACATCGTATATTCCTTCTCGTGCAGGCGACTACCTGGGCATGTCACTGCCCATTGTGACTGTGGTGCGCACAGACGAGAACCATTCGACCATCGCCCAGGAAGTGACTGTGGCGTATTACCTGCCCACCAACCACCAGGCGCAGCCCCCTCAACCTCATGACCGTGACATCATCATCGAGATCTGGCCCGCAGCTGTTGTGTACACGAGGTGAGCAAAGAAAGGAATGCGATGGTATCAACAGCCTCCAACAACAGCACTGATTAATGGCAAAAAAAATATTTTGCGTTATTAAACAACAAAATATCTCAGTGAGGTGCAGGTAATTGTCCACTTGGAGGCCCCATCCTCATGTTCTACACTGTAATATTTGTCTGAGTGTGTGTGTGGCTTTAAAAAGATTCCTCCTTTTAAAGCCACACACTGCTGGCCTGGTGAGTGACGTGGGTGTCGGCAAATGAAAGTACAGTTTGATGTTACGAGCTCAGGTTAGCGGTTGGTTGTAAACTGGCTGACCATTAGCCAGTCTGGGCGTCAGTTATGGCCATCGTGCATGAATGTTTATTCCGTTTTATTTGTTAAACAAAATAATAAAAAAGTATAATACACCACAAACTAGTGATGTCCGCATATGATGGCGGCATTTGCACTTGATTAGGTTTTGTGTATGGGTGCATTATTGCAAGAAGCTTTTGCTAATATCCCCTCCTCTCCCCGCAGGCCCTTCACTGGCCCCACAAACGAGTTTACTATCGTGGATCAGATCAACACCATGGCTGAGCTGCTCGAGTCCCCTGGCATGTGCGTCAATGACTCGTTCATCGTGGCCGGCTACACCAACCCGGCGCACAGCCAGCGCCAGAACGAGATCTGGTTCCTGGAGCGCCGTTAATGGGGTACAGCCGAATGAGGCATTTCACCAGTGAACCCCCACCCCCGGCACCCTTGGAGCCTCATAAAGACTCATCTCTATTCCACCACCTCTGCCCAGTCCACAGCTCATAGATGCAACATCGTCCTTTTCCTCGTCACGGCCTCATCTTACCAGCGCACTACCCATTCAAACGGCATAGTCAAACCCTTGGGAGTGCTGTAATAAAGCCGCTAAATTATCCTCAGTATCGGACGTGCCGCCTAATCATGGTGCATTTTTATTGTCCATAGCGCCGCTTTCTCTGTCGCATTTCATCTTGCCGAGTTGCTGATGTCAAAACTGTCAGTGTTGATGCACTTGTTCTATTGTTCAAATCTCGAGATCGCTGCAGGTTAAATGGTTTCACGAGATGATTCAATCAACAGGTTACCACACAACCAGTCACTAAACCATTTTTCTTTCTCTCTAGCTTGGACCATTAAAGTGTTAACGTGGTGAGTCGGTAGCGAGGGGAGGTGGGATGTAGTTTCTGTGTAGTGTGCAACACGATGGATGCCAATAACTACCTAACTGAATCAAACTTGACACAAATTGAGAAATACATCAATGTGTGTGTGTGTGTGTGTGTGTGTGTGTGTGTGTGTGTGTGTGTGTGTGTGTGTGTGTGTGTGTGTGTGTGTGTGTGCGCGTGTGTGCGTGTGCAAAACCAAACTATTGCTGGATGACAATCAAAAGCACTTAAATAGATCCGTTGCAAACAAGGCAAAGCATTCCTCATGGTTCCTCCACCTGGGAATTGTTCGTGAGTACGTAGTCACTACTGTATACCGCGACAACCACCACCGCTGCTGATGAGTAGAAACATTGCAAACAGATGCGCCACCGAGATCCGTTTCTTAGACCGAGACCACCAGGAAACCAAAATGTTACGTTGAAACTGTTTATTTGTGATGTTTTGTCTTAACGATGAATAAATACCTGTACCACTTGGAGACAACGGTTCTGTTGAGAAGGGTTGATACATTGGCTATTAGGGGTGGGTGTCCTTGCAAAGTGTTGCTGAAATATCTGCATTGGTAATGTTTATATAGTCGCTATATTTTCAGTTTAACCTTACCAATCCACCAGATGTTCTGAAAGATGTTTTTGTTTGTTTAAAAGATTCAATATATGATTCTATGAATGACAGGATGTTAAAGTATCATTTCCTCAAAAATGATGATAGAAAATTACATTTGGTTTGCCCAAGTGGCCATTAAACAAAAAGAAACAAATCCAAAGATGTTATTTTTCATACATACCATGACTGTGAGCGGAGGTGTTTCAAAGCCATGATACACACAATGAGAGTATGTCCCCCTTTGTGAGCTTGGTTATATGGGAACATCAACCCCTTTCCGTTTAATGTTTGCTTATTTTAGTTGAAAGGCTTAATTTGTGCTGTACTGTGAACATAAAAGTGCAACAGCAGATCACTACTGTGGTTTTAAATAAACATGGGCTTGTTCTCCTGTCTTTTAAAAATGACACAAGATCACAATCTGTTTTATTTACCTTTTTTTCCCCCCATTTCTTCTATTTTTTTTTTCTATCTACGCTACAGAGCTTATGGAGCTGAATGAGCAGAGCTTGAGCTTAATATCGGTGCTTTACCCTTTGCAAAGCAAGGTGTAATAATACAAGTGTGGCGTAAACCCGAGATGGTAGCTCGCTGGTTGAGCAGATTGGCCGCAATGTAACTTTAGGATGTACGGCTTGTAATGTCAAAAATAAACGCACGCTAAATTTAGCGGTTGCTGTGCATTAGCTCTGGATGCTGCAGTAGTCTCCACTTTGCTGCGGCGTGCCCTGTCTCCTTTCATGGATGAGTCTCTTTGCTGAGAAGTAGAATACTGGAGAGCCTCATTCTCCATTGTTTGCTCACATTTAATAATAAAAAAATAAATAAATAAATCATATAATTTCAAACTTGTCATACAACACGACCATTATCAAATAAATACCTTACGGATTATTATTTACGTACAAAATGATCTTAAGCAGTCAAAATGCATCACTTCCAACATAGTGTTCCTCCGCGACATCAATTACTTCTTTCTGATTAGCCAAAGGTTTGGCACCATCTCATGGCATCTTAGAATGTTTTGAGAATGAGTCAACAATAAAAGCTCAAATGTGTCCCCTTTTTCAGCGAATAACAGAGAGGACATTTCAAAAACAAAACAACGATGGTCAAATACATGTCATATTTGCCAAGTCTGATATGGCGAATAAACACTTACTGGCCACAATATTGACAATAATAATATAGTTTACACGACTGCAACATACAATCAATAACACTTGTAAACGAAAACCTCTTTTGACAGTCTCAAATCGAATGCATTCAGAATTGTGGAAGAGTACAATTTCCAAGTGCAGTACCAAGTCCTGTTTACCTACGCTGGAATGTCCCTCAAGGCAAATCCCTCCCTTTTAATGGGATCAAATGTTTCCAACAAAAGGTGGCCCGGCCACACCCAACTCAACCGAACAGCACACAACGGCTTCTCGCAAAGGTGGACTCCAAACTGATACATAATAACCGTAAGAACAGACAACTGCAGAGAGAATCAATCAGCGTGGATAATTAAGTGCAAGAATGCCACTAAACCTGCCAACGCAAAGCGGCCATACGCTACGATGACATCACGTTAAAGCTCGGTCTTTCATTCCACTACAATACAAAATAGGTCATTGGGGAAAAAGAAAAAAAAAAAAAAAACAACAACAAACATTGAAAATGACACGAAGAGGCGTAACCACACAAGCCAATTCGTTGCCTGGATAAAAGAACAGCAGTAATGCTCATTTGACACCCTGATACATACCAGTAATTGGTCAACAATTCACAAACACAATTGAGAGTCTTTAAAAGGACTTCACATCCATCTTTTGGGAAAATAGGAAAACCCCACGCCAGCACGGGGGAGAACAAACTGCTCACCGAATCTCAGAACTGAAGCTGACTCGCTACTAGTCCACCATGTCGCCAGCAACAGCAAATTTTAATGTTTTCTCTCAACGTATTTTTGACACAGCTTTGTGAAATAAGCACTGGCTACAACCATTCAGTTGTATTTAACTACTAAGTTCAATACATTTGCATGTATTTTTTTTTTTTAAAAACTGTTTTTGTTTTTGACATTAATTCAGGTAAAAACTAACTTCGATGTGCAATACGTTTGAATTGAGTAGTTTATTTCTTTGTCAGTCAAGTTGTTTTGTTTTTGTGTATTTAGGCGCTTTACTACTGTTCACACATTGCATAATGTGACAGCGGCTTACAATAATAACACATGGACTGAGAGTAAAAACTTTTCACAACCAGTGTCTGCTTGGCGAGGGTTCCAGACAGTTACCGATTTACTGACTATGCACAATGTGACCACTAAGGGGCAGCAAAACACCAAAATTTAGGCTACAAATTGAACGACACACACTTTTGTATTGTCACTCACACACCTGCAGGTAGCGAGCCTGCTGGGCAGCCAGCGCCTCCCCCAGCGGCACCACCATCTTCTCCACGCTGCGCTGGTGCGAGTGGGCCAAGATGTCCGGGCTTTCCTCTGAGCGTAGCTCAATGTGGGAGATGAGCAGATTGGAGATCACGGACTGCACCGACTGCATTGGGGGTGAACACAGACGGAGTTATCATGTGTTTCGTGGTGGGCTGCAGAAAGAAAAGGTTTAAAGTCTCTCACCTTTGTGTCTCCCCCTGGAGTGGCGCTCAGGGCTAACACGCGGAACTGCAGAGTCTGACTGCTGAGCTGTCTGATCACCTGAACATGAACAAGAACAGGACGAATTAAAATGTTTATCTGCGACTGCCACAGTTACAGTTCCGAGGTTCAGGTTTGAATTTCCACTCTGGCCTTCCTGTGTGGGATTGGCATGTTCTCCCTGTTTTTGTGTGTTTTCTCTTGTCTTCCTCCAACATTTCAAAACCGTGCATGTTTGCTCCATTTAAGATTCTCTTACATTGTCCACATTTGTGAATGTGAACGCTCGTTTGTGTCTATATGTGCATGGTGATTGGCTGGCAACCATTTCAGAGTCTACCGCGCCTCTAGCCCAAGTCAGCTGAGCTAAGTACCAACCCACAACCCGAACTGGAAGTTATATAAAAGGAAGGATGTTATGAAAATTGTGTGCTAAATATTTGATAACATTTCCAGTAATCATGTGACTGACTCACTAAGCCGAAAGTCACGACAACAACCACTGAGTCTTTTGAGAGATCAATGGACTAAGGCTGAGGCGATTTTGTGGCACATGACCACAGGTCGGCATGAAACCTTGACTCAGTCCGGATCCAGACCACAGTCCGCCCTTTGAAGATGCAAACCCGAAGCTCTGATACTTCTTTGAAACTCCAACCCCGGCTCAAAATTTAGCACATTTTGGGTGAATGGCGTGTATATTAAGTGTCATGTCCAATGCCATGCTTACCTGACAGTAGGCATGGTTGCCTAGCGCCTTGTGTGCCTCGTCAATCACCACACACTTGACTTGCAGGGCTGGGCATGTGTTTCTGGACAGATCATTCATCATCACCTGAGGTGTGAGGAAGAACAAGCGCTTGGACCGCCACACTTCCTGCCTCCGGTGAGCCGCTGTGCTGCCTGCAGAAACACAGCCGGGGATATGATTAAAAACTTTGATGCCTCCATTTTCTATAGCGCTTGGTCTAATTAGGGTCGCAGGTGAGCTTGGGTTATCCATGCTGACTTTAGGGGAGAGAAGGAATATACCCTAGACGGGTCATCGGTCAATCAGAGGGCTATTATTAAAGATAACTGCAATAAAAATTCTTATGTTGGAATTAGGTATTTATTTAAATTCGGATTTCGCAGGAGTTCTTGGAAAAAAATTCACCCCACAGGTTTGAGAACCCCCCCACCCCCACCCCCCAGTTGAAATCTGAACTCCAGTCCTCGAGTGCCGCTATCCTGCCTCTCTTCGATGTTTCCCTCCTCCAACACACTTGATTCAAACGATCACGATTGTTATCAAGTTCTGCAGGTTTGTGTCTCAGTCGAGATGCATTGCTTCATGATAATTTTCTTGACACCAATTTCAATTGAGACGGGCCTTTGGCATCTTGTGATATTATAAAGGGTGTTTCAGAAATCGCACTAACCTGCGACGAAGTGCGTTTTTCATCCCCAGAAATGTGGATATAGGTTCTACAGGAAAAAAAAACTTGCATCTATGAAGAGTGAGAACATAGTGAGAGAGGAATACTGTACCAGTCAGCTCTGCCATATGCCCCTGTGGGATGCCCATCACGTTGTAGCAAGCCTCAATCTGCTGCGCCACCAGTGGCTTGGTGGGCGCCATGAACACGATCTTCCCAGTTGGATACCAACGATAGAAGTTGTACATTACAACCGCGGCGATGAACGTCTTCCCCAAACCTGTGGGAAGGCACACTAGGGTGTTTTGGAACAAAGCGGCCTTCGATATGTTGAGTTGGTACTCCCTAATCGGGTAGTTCGTGGGATAAATCCACACTGTCGCGGAGGAGCTGTCAAAACCAGGGAAGTCTGGATAGGTGATCTCTCCAACTGATGGAGTGGGAGACAGGCGCCTTTCCTGTTGGAGTAAGCTGCCATTATCATGTTGTAGGTTCTCCTCAGCTTCATTGACAGCGACGACCATGAGGTCGTCATCTTCATTATCATCATAAAGAGAGGGTTCGGGAGTTTCTGTTGTGGGGTGTCTCGCTTTCGGAGCGTCTGTTGGGTTTAAAGAGCCGAGCTCAGCCCATAGTGGATTTGGAGCAGGTCTGTGGACTGTGCCGCTTTGACTCTCTTTGCGCAGTCCAGGGACTTTTTTTCGTTCTTTTGGAGGCCGGACAACGTTGGGGGGAGGCGCGGACGAACCCCAAGTCTGAAATAAAGTCCTCTGGTTAGAAGAACCGCTCATTTTCTCGAGTTATGTCGTAAATAAAACTTTTTGGTGGGGTTGGACAGCGAGCGAGCCATAGCTAACAGAAGATGCAAACAATGGCTAATTTCCGGGTCACGTTTTTCAAAATATAAGCTTTCCCCTGCTCGAGCAAGTCTAGTTTGGTCTGTTAGACATCGTTTCATCTTATCCGGTTTATAATTACTTATTCAAATATTATTAAAAACAAAATTAACCCACATTTGGCGTAAGCATGAAGCTATAATTTTAACATCAAACTTTTATTTTTCGAACTTAACACCAGAAGTAAACGCCAAGCTCCCGCTTCTCTTTGGGGAATTACGTTACCATAGTGATGCACAGTGCTGACTGGGAGAGCACGCTCGTTCTTTTGCAAGTAACAACCTCGTTGCTAATTTATCTGCTTGCATACTGTGAAGCGGTAAAGCTTCTTTACGATCGCGGCGATTATAGCACTCTTTTTGGGTTAGGGTATGCAAAGCGGCTGTGGAAAACCGAGAACAATGCTAGCTGTTGTTAGCATTAGCCTCGTGTCTGTCCTTATGGTCGATTTTAACGCCTCGTCTTGCTAAAACAAGAACTCGCCTTTAGCTTTAACATTTTAACAGCCCTTCCCGTGTTTTTAAAGTATTAATTCTATTCAGAATGCAATATTTTGCCTCACTTTTAAAAACGAAATGTACCATTGAGTGCTAGTTCATGGTTTGAGTTTTAAGACATTAACTTGTTTTTAAGCCTTAAAACAAGGAACAGTGGTGCCTTGAGATGCGCGTGACCTAATTTGCGAGTTTTTCAAGATAGGCACCGCGCCGTCATTCGGCCGACTGGCAAATCGTGAACAATGCTTCATAAAAGATGCTTCAAGCTGTTTTATGTATCTCTATCATCAAACTAAACATACAACCTCGGAGAGTATTTAAAACAAGTACATTCCATAGCCTCTAGTTAGTCATCTTAATGTTAATGCTAACATTTAATGGGGAACGCCTGTATAACCGTTGAAGCTTCTGCAATTTGAAAACCGACAAGTTAGCAAGTTAACACATTTACAAAGCCCTCAGTCATATAACTGTACTTAGTAATTCCCTTGAGTTGTTATTAATGTATATATTTTTTTTATTAAGTACAATATGATTGATTGTATTTTTTATGTCATTAAAACAACTTTTTTGGGGGGGGGGCTGCAGCATATTACTAGCATTTCCACTCATTTCAATGAGGAAAAATGATTTAAGACACAAGTGAATCAAATGAATTAAACTCGTATCTCAAGGTACCACTGTCTACCACTCGAAGACCCCCTATTGTATGTCATCTCCGCAGGCTCACGCACGAGGCCTTCTGGTGAGGGCGGAGTTACGTCGTGCAAGGTCGGACTTTGAGGAGGTCGTGAAAGAGATAGATGGCACTTTGGCCCACTTGGGGTGGAGGGATGCCATCATTCCCATCCCCCATTTCACAGACACGGCAAGTCTCTGTACCTGTAATAAAAATTGATTTACCTTGGCGCCTTTCTCAAGCCATTTTTTTTTTAACCAGGATGGCCCCCTATGCAGGATAGATCCAGGATCAGATACCACCACCTGCTCACAGAACCCAGCAGCAGGAGATGCGGCTCCATTGTCGGAATTTAGAGGAGAAAGTCACCGTCTACGGACCACAGAAGTGCAGAGAGACAGCTTGGGAATAAAACAAGAAGCTAGGGGGTGTTCACAAAGCAGCCACGTTCTTGAGACAGTTCAGAACTTGAGCTCTGATGAGGTTCTGGAGAGCACATTGGACTCCACCTCAATCTGGAGTAGTATGGACAGCCTTCCTCTTCAAGGTAAATCCTTTGTCATATGCAGAAGTGGCAAAAGGACTCACACTTTGTACTTAAGTAGAAGCAATGCAAATGATAGATCGGTAGATTTTAAAATCTCGATACATCAATGCATAAATAATGTGTCTTCTCCAGGTCGGCCGCGGTACCGCTCGGCCCAGGAGGTGCCCGCTGATCCCAAGTCCCTGCGATGCCATAGAGACGCCCTGACCATGGAGCTGCTGTGGCTGCAGCAGGCCATCGACAGCAGGAAAAAGGTGAGTCGCTGGTATAGTACAGTATTTCCCTTCATTTAATCCGCACTGGCGCTCCACCACAGGGTCGACGCTCAAGATATACTACGGTGATATTTATGGCACCTCAGTGAATCAGCCGCGTTATTTAATGACCACCAGCGGCCTTTTTTTTTTTTTTTCCCCACACGAGGGTCAGTTTGTACTTGCTGTTGTACAGTACAATACGCACAATTCTTTGCCGGGAAGATGGCGGATTGTAGATATTTATTCATTTCAAAATGAATTTTCCACTTTTGGAAGTCATCACTGCCAGGGGCAAATTTCAACTTTGTAAATGGTATGAAAGTTATTTTATAAACTGCAAATCATGTATCTTTGTTCATCTATACCCGCGAGGAGGACACTAATTTTGAATTGTGTTCCTGTCTTTCTCTCCTCTGCAGTACTTGTCTCTCAAGGACAAACTGAGCATGTATTGAAGTGGACCTTGCTGTGCAAATGTGTGCATCAATTTACTGTCAACAAATTGCCTCCGTTTTCTTAAACGAAATGGCTGAATTGTACATTTTGTATTTTATATGTTAATGTAAAACATGAATAAACATATTTTCTTACTATGGTGCTTCATTTTGTCTTATTACTGATGTTGTTGTCACATACTCCTGTTTTATTTGAGACGATCTGAAAATGGACAAGATAGTAAGGGGACCCCACAAATGTAGATTCAGACAAAGGACGGTACAAAAATATTTCCACAAAAACAAAGGACAGACAAAGCATAAACAGAAAGCGCTGGCAACACAAAACCAGGAAAAGCCACTATGAACAAAAAAAAAATCCCACTGCAAACGGCAAGGAATTTTTGATCCCCAAAAATACCCAACACAAAATGAGAATCCAGAAACAACAAGAAATTGAAAAAATACTTAGGAAACAAGAAAACTATCAAAACGAGAGCGGCCATAAACATGAACGAGGCATCGAGAAATCTTCTCGTGAGCAAACAGCAAGCAAGGTCAATAATCTGACAATGACAAGGCAGCTTGGCAGTCCTTAAATATATGGCAGGCCTTGATTGGTAACGAGAAACAGGTGCACCACTGAAGAGGCACGCCCTCCACTCCAGCTGGTGCCGAAAACCAAAACGGAGCAGAAAATGACAGTACCCGCTCCTCAACGGACGCCCCCTGGTGGACTAATTGGTTTAGACGGATTGGCTCTTCATGCACCCTGGAATCAGATAACACGAAAAGCTGTCCACTATAGTAACCGCTGTCCCTCAAAGGGTTAATGTCAGGTTCATACATTTTGATGTACAATTACTATCAGGACATTCATAAGCCATTCATAAGTGTTATGTCCAGTATTGAAGTGTTTTGAAACCACTTCAGTCACACACCTATTACAATATTGGTGCATTGAAAAAAAATATGCGCAAATGTTATCATACGGTATCAACCTCCCGCCCCCTCCCACTCTGTCCCTTTTGTTGTGGTTGCTGCCGGTGGTTTGACCCACGAAGCCATTCACTGCTGTCCGCGCTGTCATAGCAACCAGGAAATACACAAGGCTGTCGGTTCTTGTGTGTGGAGCAGAAGAACGTGGCCAGTGTGCCACCACCACCACTGCCACACAGGGGGGATTCATCTCTATCTTCAGTTTGTGGTGTGTATCTGCAGAGTGTGTGTTCACGAATGCCTACATTTGACTGGAGATTGTCATTTCTGTTGAAATTGTGTGTTGAGTGCTGAAGAGCTGACTATGAAACTGAACGGCTGTGGAAATATGGGGGATGTGATGAATAGTGTGTGTATGGCCCGAATGAGCGAAACAGTTTGAAGTTGGAATGGTTGAAATGGGTCAAGAAATCTGGAAAGTTGGGGTACTAAATATGTAAAATTTCGTTGCAAAAAATGTGGACTTTGGGGAATGTTTGAAAATTGTTTTTGCTGAATGGTTTGAATTTGGAATTAGAACAGATTGACAATTTAATTTTTTTTTTTTTTTGGATTAAATGTCTTATTCACTTTCAAGTTTTGTTTTTGTTTTTTGTTTTTGTGTGGGTGGGTGTGGAAAATGTGGCATCTTGGGAAGGCAATGTCAAACATGTCCAGAATGAGGTGAATATTTTGAAATTGGTATGGTTCGAATTGGAGGAGAAATGTGGAAGGAGTAGAACACATTGGCGGAATGCGTTTTGGGATGCAGGATGAGAGTGCCAAAAATCTGACACTCAACTGAAATGCTGCAAAAATAAAGTGGAAATGATGAAACCATGAATGTCAGACTCAGGATGGTTTGAATCAATTAATAATCTGAAGGAGGCGGTACATAAATGAACTCGGTTTTATTTGGGGGATTTTAGTGTGAAAAATGTGTGGTTGCCGGTGAGGGAAGGGAAACTGATTTTTGGAGTGAGAAAGATGGGGAACTTTTTTTTTTGTTGATGGACCCCTTCACTGGACTGTTTTTTGTGCGTGTGGAAAACATGAAAATGTCAAAGGTGGTTATTTTGGTGGAATGTGGAAAGCAATGTCCTTCCTTTTTGGAATTGGAGGGGTTTGAATCAGTGGAGAAATGCAGAAGGAGTAAAACAGTTAAAATTGGCGGAATAATAATACTAATCAAGTTTTTGGGTACAGAACTGCACTTTAATGAAAGAGGTTGGTGTGATTGGTGAAAAACATGAACCAAAATGCTGGAGAAATAAAATTGAAATATAGAATGTGAGACTTGGAATGGTGAGAGTTAACTTATTAATATGGAAGGAGGTGTTAAATATATCACATTTCGGAATTTTATTTTGAAATCTGGGGGATTTGGGGATTCGGAATAGTTCCTAAGATGTGCCGAATGAGTTGAATATTTTAAAGTTGAAATGGTTTTGAAACGGTCAGCAAATGTGGTGGTAAATATGTAATTGGGACATTTTATTGTGAAAAGTGTGGAGTGTGGAAAATAGTACTTCCTGTTATGAAATAAGACGAACACTGAGTTTTGAATGGGGAAAACAGGGTACTTTTTGTTGAACATCTCATTAGCTTTTGTGTGCGCGTGTGTGTGTGTGTGTGTGTGTGTGTGTGTGTGTGGTAGCAGAGAGCGCCGAAATGGCCGCCACCACAGCGCTACCCCCAGTGAAAAGCGTGGTAGTGTACAGGAACGGAGACCCCTTCTTTAGCGGCCGCCGGTTCGTGATCAACCAACGGCAGGTGTCCACCATGGAGGCCTTCCTCAATGAGGTGACCTATAATATCGGGGCCCCGCTGGCCGTCAGGACCCTGTACACTCCCAGGCAGGGCCACAAGGTCGCCGACCTCCAGGACTTGCGGACGGGGGCCCAATATGTCGCCGCCGGTTTTGAGAAGTTCAAGAAACTGGAGTAAGCACCGGCCAGCCTTTTGTATTCTGCTTAGGCGAGGCTGGAAGTACAAATACTTTGTTACTGTACTTGAGTAGTTTTTTTTTTTTTGAAAAGTTCTCACTTTGACTTTGGAAAAAAAAAAGACATCCGTACTTTCTACTCCTTACTTTGTTGAAAGAGGCTTGTTAGCTTTCTCTACCTACACTGATGACAACACGATGTCAAAAAGAAAAGAGGGAAATAGAGCAAGCCAATTGCGTTTGAGATATTGATTTTTTGAGGGGGGGGAAGAATAGCAACAACATAAAGAAACGAAGGTGAAGTCAAGTCAAAAATGTTCTTTACAATAATATGTTCTATGCCACCCCACTAGTCGAAACACAGATTAACATTTGTGGAATAAGAATTAAGCAGAAGAAAAGACTCGTTTTTATCTATCTGCGGGCGGCATCCAATTTGTCCTCTACTGCCACTTGCTGTCGACGGAAAATGACATCACAGTGCCTCAGAGCTCAGATAATGACTGTCATGGCTCACCTGCTCACGTTTGGTCATGTGACGTCAGTCACCTGAGCTCTTAGGGCAGAGCAGTTTTTTTTTTAACTGAGTACTTTTAGGACTTGTGCTCATTTGTATGGAAGACTTTTTTTTTTTTTTTTTTTTTTTTTTAATGTGTGTGCTCTCATGATGCAGCTACGTCAACACCGGTGTGAAAAAGCAGCCGGCAGCTCGTGAAGACACACAGGTAGGCCGGCTCGTCTTTCTGCTGCTCAGTCAATGACTTATTTATCCAAATCCAACCCCAGGAATGCACCAGTGGACCTCCTACCAAGCCAACTCGGATAAAAATAGACCAAACGTCTCATACATGTTTTGATTGTTGATTAATCCTGCACTAAGGATAAAAAACGAATTTGTGGATTCGGGACTCAACTTGTTCGATGCCCAGCGAACGAGTGGCTTTGTTCTCACTCCAACGGCGCCATTTCTTCTTCGGACAGAATTGAAAGAGAGTAACTGTGTGTGCCTTGGACATGCGCCCCGCGTGCACCCATCATGTCGACTATGTGCATTGCGGAGCGCTCGCATGCCTGGTGTCGTGGTTGCTGTGGAGCACTGCGGCAAATGTGGCATCATGTGAAAGTTAAGCTTAACAGTATATGGACAGTGGATTAATCAGTGCATGTCCAGGCAAGTCCAAACGGCCGCTTTGTTTTCCCTCACGAGCATAGTAAAGGTCACAATTGCAAACCCAATGACTTCATTTAATGAATGCTTAACATGCCTTTATCTGTCCGCTTTCTAGTTAATCACTTGTTCTTATGTAATATAGATGGGCAAAGATAAAAATTGGTTGGATGACGGCTTGTATCGAGAAAAGTGTTTTTTCTCATGTGGAAAATTGATCTAAAATGTTTGCGAAACACTGCACGAGACTACCATGCTGCCTTTTGACAACAGATTCACATAAAATTATGTAAGAGATTCACAATTATGGATCAAACTTGTGCTCGATGGAAATACGGCTCATTTATCGGCATGTCTCCCGCAGGCAAAAATAATCCCGAGGCCTAATGTGTCAGCCAAATGGAAGAAGTTTGTTCCAGTGCCCTGTATTATACAGTAAGACAAAACTCGTCCGATCACACACGTTTAACTCGACGCATTTGCGTGACGAATTTATGTCATATTTCAGCGTTTTCCGCAATGGGGACATCTTGTGTCCACCCTTCCGATTCATCATACCTCGCAGTATGCAGCGGGACCTGGAGCAGATCCTCAGCCTGGTCACGGACAAGGTCAGCTTACGGACTGGCGCCGTGCGGAGGTCAGTTAAAAAATAAAAATTAAAAAAAAATAACACGCAGACAAAAAATAGGATTGACTGGACCGATTGTGACTGTCAGGTTGTGTTCTGTGGACGGGGCCACAGTGACCTCGGCGGGGGAGCTCGAGACCGGATGCTGCTACGTTGCCGTGGGAACCGAGAAGTTCAAGAAGCTTCCGTACGTGGAGCTGCTAGTCTCTAAAACCACAGAGAGGTATATCAATCAAGGCTTTAGAATTGTGAAAAATCAAGCCCTGGTCCCTGCTGTCAAATGTTGTCAGAGTGGAAGCTCGCTTGCAAGGCTTGGGCCAAGTAGCTTCTGAGAATATTTATGGCTGAGATGCAGAAATTCCGTGGATTCGGACAATTTTAAATGAAACAAGGTTGAATGTCTTGATTAATTTTGATAATCGATTTGTTGTCAATGAATCATTTTTACCTCTAGTGTTATACTTAGACAAACAATATCGTCTCAACTATATCAAGTTTCCTATTAAAAAGCCAACGTTGTCGATGAATCATTTTCCCCTCTATACTTAGACAAACAATATTGTCTCAACTATATCAAGTTTCCTATTAAAAAGCCAAACTCAAAACCGCCTGTTGTTTCCTTGGTCATTTCCATTAACGTTTGCGACTCAAAAAAATCCACTGAATTTTGCAAGCCGAATGCCGTGAATGAAATATTTGGGTCTTTTACTACACACTGATTCCTTCGATTAACATTGACTTTGCCTATTTATAGGTATTACCCAGGAAGACGACGGGCGTTGAGGAGAAACGTGGTAAATATCAATTTGATGCGCTGACAACCCAAGCAGCAGACAACTCTTGTTTTCCCCAAAACATAGAAACACAAGCGGGACTTCATTGTGGAGGGCAAACAGTATATCATGCACACCACTGACTAGTTTGTCATAAAAGAATGAAAATGTTAGGACACTTACAAGAAGGATTTCATCCGCCATAACGTACAGTGGCTCACAAAAGTCAGAGCACACCTCACATTTTTTGCCAATTTCTTTTTACAGGATGATACTGAGAGAAAAAAAAAAATCACACTTTGGTACACTGTAATTTAGTCAGCAAGGGCGGACTGGGGAGAAAAAGTGGCCCAGCAGTCATTGAGAGACTGGCCCACTTTGTGCGATGTGGATGGAAGTCGCTGTTAATCCGTCCGAATTTTTAAAAAATATTTTTGTTGTAGAACAGGAAGGAAGGAAGCGGTCCAGAAGACCAATGTAGTGACTCTGCTCTGCTCAACTCTCCAGAGGTAAAACCATATACACCGTATATAAATATAGTAGGGATGCAGGATTTTCTGAATCAATAGTTGCAAGTCGTCCAGGTCCTGAATGAGTAGTAAGCCCCAAATTATGCCACTACTGTTTTGACTGTTGACATTTAGTGTATTTTTTTTAGCTTTTTTTAATCAAATGCCATCTTATTTTTACACCCCATATATATATTTACTTTTGTCTCATCAGTCCACAGAATATTTCTCCCCAAATCTCGAAGGGAATCACAGTAAGCCCCAAATTATGCCACCACTGTTTTGACTCTTGGCATTTAGTGTATTTTTTTTCCTTTTTTTAATCAAATGCCGTCCTATTTTTACGCCCCGTATAACGAGACACGCATCTTGCAAAAATATTTACTTTTGTCTCATCAGTTCACAGAATATTTCTCCCCAAATCTCGAAGGGAATCATTAAGATCCTTTCGTGAAATGTGAGACGAGACATTTTTGTCAAAGCCCAACACACTGTTTCTATCAGTCAGACGAGCGGAGGGTGAAATCGACGGGTTATGAAGCTGCTCCCCCGAAGCAGGTTTTGCTTAAGTCTATCGCGGCGTCTTCAAGCCGGGAGCGCGCAGGAGGAGGAGGGAGGAGGTCAGAGGAGCCAAGGAGGTGCAGGAGGACGAGAATACAGCGACAGAGCTTCCCGTTGATCAGGTTTCCTATATATAAGCCACTTGATTTGGTCACAATACAGTATTGGGTACACCTGGACAATCCCATCGGAGCTTTAGGCCAAAATTTGACCGTTAAATAACGTCAGGAGTCTTAATTTAAGAATACATTTACTCCTGTTTTATTTTTGTTTTTTTGGGGGGGTAATTGTCATTTTTCTTCCATTTATGTAGCAAATGCCCCATTGTCAAAAGTTTCTATCGATTGTTTGTCCTCATCTGTTTGGAAAATGTTAAACCTAACATTCACGATGGCAAATCCATGTGTGTGGTCCAGTCGCAATTATTGACACAGCTCATTTATTGGTACTTATCAGATAAAGTGAATTGTACAGCTATTTTTTTTTTTTGAAACCGTTAATGTGTCTTTCATCCTAAGAGAGTGGCAGAAATAGTGGAGGATGAGGAGCTGAACATCACATATGACGCTCTGAATGGCACGCTGAAGGTTTACATGATTATAAACGCAAGCATTCTATGAAAAAGTTCTGCTTTTGCATTGAAAGGACTCTTAAAAATGTTACATTTATAGTTGCCGCCACCTGAGCAAGATGACGCGGAAAAGACGGCGGCAATACAAAGCACAAAAGAGGAGTTGAGCAGTGAAAACCTGGTACGCACACATCGCACGCTTTTGGGGGTCTAACTTCTTGTGTTGCGGGTCTTCTAACCTGAGTCTCTTGATTTAAAGGAGCCTGAGCTCAACAGAATGACCCTGAACACCCCCAACTGTCACGGAGAAATTCAGGGATATACTTTGGAGCATCAAGATGAACAGGCAAGTGGAACCGCATAAACTACGTGCGCCACGAAGCGCCCTCTAGTGGTACGCCAAGGAATCACTGTTTGAGTACAGTTGAGCATATTGTGACGATGACTTGCAGTATGATGTTTATATTTTATAATTTTTACTCTTTGGTGGTACTTGGTGTAAAATGTTTGATATGCACTGCTATATATGATATCAGGGTTCAATATCACATCTACTTTTGTGTGTGTGTGTGGGTTTTTTTTTGTTTTGTTTTTTTACAGGAGAAAAGAGCACAGAAGCACAACCAGGGAGAAGGCCAAATCGAGCAACCATCATAACCACTCTCTTTATTTGCTTTTATCAAAACTGTATTCCAAAAAAAAAAAAAAGAGCCTGGTAATGTCATTAATTATTGTTTTTGGGAGGTAAATGCCCATTAAAAAAAAGTAGAACCAATGCTTCATGATATGTACATTTTAGTTCATGCAATGAAAATTATTTCCAAAAAGACGAATTAAAAGTATTCAATTAAAAGTGTATCTTTTTTGGTGAGATTTGTTTGGATACAGCTACACAATATTACACACAGCAATACACTTTTTCACGTCTGACAGTTTTGATCACATCATTCTGGATTTTATTACCTCTGCCAAGCAGGAAGAGGAAAAGTATTGTTTCAAACAGCATTTGTTGGTTTCATTTTGGGCTCAGGGAAAAAACACTGCAGGGTGAACAAAAATAATTTGGTTGAAGAGAAACTGCCCGAAGGTGGATTTCCGACGGCTCATTTTAAGAGTTTACATAATTTTTCCATAACCAGAAAGTAGCAAAAAACAGACAACCAAAAACACAAACACGACAATTTTTCACTATTTTAGGGGATTTTACGCCATTTTTCGTAACTCGGAAAATACATTGGATAAAAAACATTTACCCTCAATTAAAGAGACACTAACACAATAAATAATATACTTTTGATTTTCTGACAAAAATACAATTCTTTTCTGACTTCCGCCACTTCGATCATTTGTGATTGAATGGTTGGGTGTACCAAGGTGGAACACCTACAAATGCAACGAATTTCGGCCATGTTTAGCGAAGATGATCTTCCGAGCGCGTTTATGCTCACCGGAAGGTCATTGGGCCTGAGCCTGAGTGCCCGCGTCATCTACGGAGCTTACGATACACAAAGTGACCCCGACCATAGTGAGTAACATTCCGGCAACAGCTTCTGAAAAGACACGGACATATAAAGGTTTCAAAACTAAAGAGAACATTTGAACAAGGCTGATGAAGTTGGCTTTCTTTTTTTTTTTTTTTCTTTTGTAAAGGCAAACTAGCACGATCGGACTGAACTCACGTTTGCCTCCAAAATCCTCGCACAGCAACTTGCCAGTGAGCAGAGTCCAAAGGAAGGTGAGAGAGTTGGACACGGGGACAGCCAATGACAAGTCTGCATGATAAAATGAATGACAATAATGAAAAGACCGCCAAAAAGACGATGAAGGGTTGTTTTCGTCAAAAATTAAATAAAGGCAATTAGTCGGTAAAAATGTCTCAAAATAATACGACTTTATTCCCATTAAGTGACAATTTTTTAACAATATGCGACTTTTTCCACTTTAATCTAAAAATATCAAAAAGTTTTTTTTAATTTTGAAACCATACATCTTATCTTAACCTGCAACTTTTTAAAAAAAATTTTGAAACCATACATCTTATCTTAACCTGCAACTTGTTTTTATGAAAAATCGGACTCTATTCATGTGAATTTCCAATTTAGGTACATGTATGTGACATTTTTCTCAAACATGTAAACTTCATTCACGTAAAAATAAAAATACAAATCACTCGATTATGAAATTAGGCAAACTTTTTTTCCTCATTAAAATACTTTTTTTTCCCAAAACACTTACAGTTATTCAATTCCGACAGAAATCTCGAAAATATATAGACTTTTGTCGAAAAACTGCGAGACCTTTGAAACCTCCCTTTATTCTTGCAAAATTAGTTGAATCTAGAAAATGGACATTGACTTTGACACCTGGGATCTACGGTTTAATGTCTCACCTGTGGTGGAAAGTGTGTAATAGTACACTAAAGAGCCACTTTGGTTCAGGACAAACGGGATGAGATACTGAGGATGGATATAGAATAGAGAATGAAGGGCATCCATTTTATGTTTACAACATTTGAGAAAATGAGCGAATGCAAAATAAGTGAAATGTGCTATGTTTACCTTGAGATTAAGGAAGAGAAACTTGAGCTCAGCAAGAAACTGAGCCACTTTGCTGGACTTGGACACATGTTCGATACCTTCAGTGCCTTTTTTCAGGAAAGGGTTGGTGCATCCCCATAACACGGACACCAGCAGGAGACTCAGCACTTCCACTATTGAGCAGCATAGTTTAGGTTATTTGAATATGCAAATGTTTGTCACTAGAGACATAAAATGATGAGTTCCGGTGTAACTTCCTTAGCATGTGGGCTACAAGGAAATCTGTCGGATAGTTACGTTGTAATCAGTTCAATGACGCCAAACACGATCGTATTAGTTTCATTAAAACTGAGAAAATACACACGCATAACTCGGCTTATATAAGCGTTGAGACTGTTGGAAAGATACAATGAGTTAGCGACTTACCTGGAGTCACCATCATAACAACGTCACAGACTGCTGACGTGTTGCGTTCAAGACCGCTTTGAAATTGTCGGATAAACTTCTTTACAAGAAAAGAACTGTTCGAAGTACTTTACGCCAAAACCAAATTCTGTGCTTTTTTTTTTTTTGCCCAAAGTGCCTTGTTGAATTAACCAACACCAGATTCAAGAGTCAAGTCCTCAATTTTTTTTAGTTTATTGAGTTGCTTAACATTGCACTTCTTTTATATTCCCCTGTAGAGGTGATTCTCAGCATTATTGGTCAAAGATGGGCAGAATAACACGACAGTACATTTCTCTCCCATCGTTCAATGCTGTTGGCTTCGTTCAGTAAAGCTAAAGGCGACCCAAATCAGATTTTTTTTCCCACCCATGCCGTGTCTGTTTTTTTAATGACAGTTGGAAATTTGTCTCAATTCCGTTTTTTAACATAGTTTTTAAAATAATGATTAAATTAAAATATATTACCCCAAAAATTATCTAAAATGTTTTTAACAGTTTGATATACACTTCTGAAATAATAGATTGGCTCAAATTAACTGTAATGATGATTTCTGTTAATTACTTGCACGTTTACTCTCTTTTTTTCCAGCAAATCTAGGTATGTTTATTTGAACACAAAGTTATAATTATTCTGTTTTATGCACTTTAACAAGTGGATACTGTACTGTACACAGGTTAATTTCGTACCTTCTGCCATCTAGTGGAGGAGCATTTAATTGTTCTCCCCGTCAATATACGTCACTGAGATTGATGGCGAGATCCAATATTGCTTGTAAATAATCATTTTCTCTGAATGGGAATCACTGCTCATACCGCTTATCCTGTTGAGGGTGGCTGGTAGGTGCAACCTGTCTCAGCTTTCTTTAGCCAAATGACTACATCCAGAACTGGTCCAATCAATCAGTAGAGACCAAAAAAAAGAAACATTCAGACTTGCATTTGCATCGTAACTGAATGCCTGAAAATCCAGTTTTATTCAATTCCAATGCGATCTAAAGATAAAAAAAAGATACAAATATGAAGAACAATGAAAAGTAAAGTGCAAAACTGGTTTGTTTTACAAATAAACCAAGAAAATGTGTGGGTGGGGGGGGGCTAAAAATAAAGTATAAATCTGAGCTAAAAACGTGTCATACTGGCAACCAGGAATGATTAATCCTTTTTTATTTCATAGTGGTTGGGTGTCTTCTAAATGTGATACTCAGCTGTACTGAATAAATGTACACAATTAAGACCAACCAAGGACTGGTAGTGCAAACACTGACTATTGATACAAAAAGCAGCCTCACTTCACATCCTTCCTGAAGCCCTTTTGTGGTGTCTTTTTGTTCACATTTAGTCTCGGATTAACCATAACAAGAAAGTCATGTTTCCACACAGGATTCAGTCTATAAAGACAGGCGCGTCAGTCTTTTGAGCGGATGTTACGTGTTTAATGACGTGTCATGGATGGTAACCGCCGTGGATCCACTGGCCGTGCTGAACTCTTCTATGGGATGCAGAGAGCTCGGTTCTGCTCTCAGCGACGGCGACGAGCTGAGGTTCGACGAGCTGACTCCGATGGTGGCCATGGGCATGATTGGAGCCGCAGACTGGGACGCCTTCTTATGAGGTTTGGAGACCCCGCTGGACCCCAGAAGTCGGGATGCGTGGGTTCGCCTGATCTCAGAGAAAACGGAAATTAAGGGCAACATTTCCACATGAAGACAAAATCTTTTTTTTACCAACAGTGGTACATCAAGTTTTGAGTGCCGAGCAAGGTTATTGGAGTTAACGAAAACTAAGTAAATTACTAAAACAAAAATTGAAAAACATTTTCGTCAGCAAAACATAATCAAAACGAAAATGCTTTCGAAAAAATGAGAACTAACTGAAATGGCATCTTAGATTTATAAAACTAGCTATAATTATAGCAGACATGTCCTTTGTTTTTGTCTTTGTCAATGATCATACAAGAGCCTTCGGGGTTAACTTTCCTCTATGTCCGTAGAGAAGTACTTAGTGACCTTTTTTAAACTTACACTTGTAGTGACTGCGCACGTGAGAAATTGTCGCTTTCTTCGAGTTCTACAATTTCCACACACTCCACAAATACTGCATATACGGAAAGAAAACTCAAACTAATACTAAAGCTAATATAAACTAAACTAAAACAATGCGTTTGCGAAAAAAATAAAAACAAAAAACCCTAAACTCAAAACAAAAGTCCAAACTAAATTAAAAACGTACTACAGTATATTAAAAAATACAAACCTATTACAACTCTGGTGTTGACTGACCCAATTTTCAAAATTTTAGCCATATGAGCTGTTGTTCAAATGATTTTTTTTTTCTCTTGAGGTAGGACCAAAAATTTCAGGCCAAGCACTTGCTTCAATGTGTTTATTACCACTCCCACTTGAAGTTTACTTAAAAGTAAAAATGAAAAAAAAAAAAGAGAATTACACCTTTTTTACTTATTCACACCACATTAACTTTGTTGTATGAAAAAGTGCTAGCTCAATGCTAACACACAACGCAAACAACGTGACAGGGGACATGCTGACCTGGTTGCATATACAGTATTTGCGTACAACACAGCCGGGACCTCATAGGAAGTCAAAAGTGATAAAGTGTGTGTGTGTTTATTCCCTATAGTTGCTATGCGACATTGTAAAGGAATGCGGCCTTACTTGTTGTACGTCTTTAGGATGAATAGAAGAATAGTGAGGATGATAATAATACCGATGACGATGACAGCGATCATAGCACCAGAACCTGGGAGGAAAAACAACCAATTGTGATTTGAGTGGTATGATGTGGATATACTGAAATGCATCATGGGAAGGCTCTCACTCTGGATGAGGATTTGTTCTTTGGATTTGGTGATGCTGGGAGGTGATGATGTGTTGCTTTCGGGTGAGGCAGTTGAAGTTTGCATCTTCAGCGTGAACCTGCACAAGCAAGGAAAAAAAAAAAACGCTTCGAAACATATTTAACCCTTTCGGAGACAGCGGTTACTACAGTGGACATCTTATCATGTGATCAGGTTACAGGGTGCATGAAAGGGGTAATAAATAGTTCGAGTGCATGTCATATAAATACAAATTATATTATTCCGGATGGGCGGCCCGGTGGTTCAGTGGTTAGCACGTCGACCTCACAGTGCAGCCAGCTTGGGCCTCCCTGTGTCGAGTTTGCATGTTCTCCCCGGGCCTGCGTGGGTTTCCTCCGGGTACTCCGGTTTCCTCCCACATTCCAAAAACATGCATGCGTATTAATCACTGGCAGTGTTGACCTATGATGATCCGTGCCCATTAGCGCCAACATACAGTATATTATGTGGACTGTTTGCAAAGGTGACAGCTTGTGATAAGTGGCCGCTTGATGGTCGGACATCCTGTTGTGATACGCTGAGCTAATATCACTCAGATTCAAATGTTTTAGTGCAGGCTAGTTTTCAAGCTTCATGTTAAAAACAAAAATATGTCATACATCAGACTTATACTGCACATGCAAAGTTGTGACTGCATTGGGGGCGGGGCGGCTGTGATTTTAACTGTTCTATTTGTTTTATTTTTTTAAGTCCAGAGGACCTTTAAATATAAAAATACACCAAATATAGTTTGGTCCGCTCTCTCATTTTCCGGGTACTTGGCATACTTCCTCAGCATGTCGAGCTGAGTAATGACCTCAGTTTCCTTGAGCATGCAACTTTCTGTGTGCATTCAAGATATGTCGGTCTGGCCCCATTATCAACAAAACCAAAACATTCTGTCTCCTGTTTTTCTTCAAATTGGCTGTTCGCCTCAGCACACTTTCTCTTCATAGGTGTTTTGAAAGACATACAGGTAACTGAGACCGGGGGGGTAGGATAGCGTTTCCTTCCACTTTGCATCACTTTATAATTACATTTTGATGCAATCCGTCGTAAGCTTGAGCTACAAGTGATTTAAAAAATAAAAAAAAAAACGCCCAAGGCAACAATACGGCAAAAAATGTGGGGGCCACATTAAAATTGATCTTTGGTGTAGTAGTAGCAGGCTGCAAAATATCATCCCTGCAAATGCCCTCCTCCAACCTGTGTTAACATTACAGCAATATTTATTGACGTATAATTACAATATAATGTTCGTAAGAATACGTCAGTGAGCGTGATATGCCGGTAGCGGGATGATGTATTTGCATACATTGAGGCAAAGGGGAACGTTAGCACGTCGCGCCATCGGTTGGCGCTTCCTGTTCAGTGTGTGACAATCTCTATATTGTTCCACAAATCATCATGTGATACCCTTTCACCTTCGTCAAACAACAGGTTTAATGGTCTGTAAACCAAGCAGAACGGGAACTAAATTGACCCGTACATTTAAAGACCACAGCGGCACGATGAATCACGCGAAAGTGATTCGAAAAGAACATTCAGGTGCAACGCAAGGGCAAATTTGACATTCTTCTCGGGTAGTTTATGAAACATAGTGTGGTTAAGTAACCAATTGAATGTGTGAGTTTTGTTTGAGACCTCCGCCGTAAGTCAAGTGACTTGAGACAAATTTGGTTGTGACCAGGCTTGTAACTCAAAACACTTTAAATCTCAATTCATCTTTCCCCGTTGAAATGAACGGAACGAATTCCAGCCCCTCATCCGCCCCAAAAAACAGCTTTCAGATGTGTTTTTTTTTGTTTGTTTGTTTTTTAGTAGGGAAAACTGCACTTGATTTAATTTTTTAATATTTTTAAATAAACATTCACGAATTACACAATTAAGTAACGTGAAAAAGAAGAAAACATTTTTTGTTGCACTTTGCATCAATCGAATGATAATTGTGTTGCTGTTCACCTCGGCCATTTGGGGGCAGTATAAGACAAATAGTACACGGATGTGGGTACAGTATTGATGTCTCAGCTCCTCGCAGTGGATAAAGAATAAATAAGTGAATACCATTACAATAAATGTCTAAAACTATTGTGCGTTTACCATTACATGTTAGCATAGCATTAAGCTAACAGCTGAACCGCGACATGCTTGTTTTAAATACACAATGTCTAATTCTCAGAGCTTAAACTTCCGTTTGGCAGAAAGCTTAAACTGGAAGTGGCATTCCACAGCTTCAAGCTTTTTTAAAAGAATTGTTAATTTGAGTTTACCGCCACCATACAGCGCTCGTATCTCAAATTTGGACTCACAAGTCAAAGCAAAAAAAAAAACTGTCTGGCTCGTATTTCCCAAAACTCATGAATTCAGTCACTCGTATCTCAAAG